GCCCTCCACTCACTCGGCCTTCGTCTCTGCTGTTTTCACAAACAAAAGTTATAGGGACTTTTCTTCCCAGCACTGGAACCCTGGGCTGGGGGGCCTGGGGTGTGGCTGGGACCCCTTGCTTTTCAGGGGATCCTCTGCAGCCAAGGTGAGTATTCCTGCCAGTATTTAACTGCCAAACCTGGGTACGGGACCAGCCCATTCCGTGTCTCCCCCTCTCCTAACAGTCTCAAGGTGGCTTCCTCTGTATCTCCTCAGTTGTAGGACTCCCATTCAGCTAAATTTCAGGTAGGTCTGAGAGGTGATTGTTCTGGAGTTTAGCTGTAATTGTGATGTGGCTGTGGGAGGATGTGAGTGCCTCATTTACCTGCACCACCTTCTTGACCTCTCTGGCCTCTTTGCAGCACTCCCCAGTGCTGAATTAATAAGGGGGCAGACCAGGGAATTCTGCCGGACAATGAAAGGCATGGACCTGAGATGTTATGGACTCCCAGACATTCTCTTTTGATCAGGAGGCAGCTGACCTTGGAAGGACTGAAAGCTAGAATTTTCTCTGATCTGGCTGCTAGGGGTGGGGCAGTGGTAGGTCGTAAATTCCTAAGCCTCACCTTGTTAAAACTTTCTTATACGAAGCAGGAAAGAGCCAAGGGAGGGGGTGGCTGAGCCAGAAACGTCAGCATCAGGACTGTGGAATTTAGCCCGGTGGTTCAAGTGTTCATTAAAGTTGGCAATGCACTGATCTGGTGTCAGTGAAGAAGCATCAACATCTACCCAGCTAAAACAAACTTAAAAATGCCCCTGCAATGAGGTATGGTGTCATCAGATTGTTCCTTAAGGTGACTGACTTTCTCTCTGAAAACGCAGCCCACTGACTCTAAGTCGTACATATCATGGCATGCTTCCATTCAGCAGACTGGCTAGCCCAAGCCAATGTCCTTCTGAAGATTTCTCTGCCAAGAGGTACTCAGGCCCCCGAGCTGCAACTAGGTTACACTGACACTTCTGCCTCAGTTGAACTAAAGTACAGCCTCTGTTTTCACACAGAAAGAAAGAAGGGGCCAGTTCATCTCATAGCAGCGCAGCGAGCATTAAATAAAATGGAACTGGAAAGGGCCTGGGTCATGCTTGCTCCTCTACCCGGAACCCTCCGGGCCCGCCTCACCGTGTGGAGCTGGAGAGCACTCCAGCCTCAGCTCCTGCTCCCTCCCCCAGCACCTCCCCTTCTGTAGCTGCTCCTCTCCTCTCCATAGTGTCCCTGCTCACTAGGAGAAGTGGTTTGCTGATAAAACACCTCTAGGCCATTCTTTGTTAATCTGGTACCCAACTGCAAGCCAGTTGGGCAAGTTTGGAAATTTTGGTGACTGCCAATTTTCCACTTACCTGAGTGCCAGAAAGATTATTTTTGCATTGCCCATGTCCTGATGAGAGAATCTTGAAATGAGTGTTCCTTCAAAAAAAATCAGGCGGCCCCACCTTGTAACAGAAGAGCATCCAGAGTTATGTAGAGGACAGAGTCACAATAAGAGTCTCCTGAGAGGTAATTTCTTTTAGTGCTTTTAAAGGAACAGTGAACACAAGCTTTAGCATCTGTAGACTCACTATGTCCAAGTTCATCCACCTACTGAGGGGCCCTATAGCAGCCACTGACCACTTGGAACTTGAGTTTTTTCCTCTGCATGTGCCCACAATGACACTGCATGGCTGGTTAGAAAGCTCAAATGAGGGAACATGGTAAAAAGACCTTATACGATTGCATAAGGAATTCATTAGTCATTATTATATAATTAAATTTATAAAAGTATGGCTGTTGTATAAAGTAAACTGGCTTCTAGTCCAAGGTTAAATTTAGGCTGTATTCTAAGTTTTTTTTTAATGTGGGGTGATTCTATAGGCTTATATTATTGGGCCAGAGGAGGACAAGATTTATGGCAAGGTGGAAGACCATGTCAGCCAATGTCCAGCTGCCCACTTGTCAGTTCTGACTACTCTGGGTTTCAGCAGCATCCACTGGAGCATAAGCATGTTTGAGTATCACAGTGTTTAGTTCTATAGCAGTTTTCAGTGCTATCTCCTTCTACTTCCCACCTCAAACTCCTGCCCCGTGGGAGGGCAGTGGAGAGAGTTATGAAGTACATATTCTCCCCCTCCCACTGGGGCTTCCCGTGGGCACTCCCAGCTCTGTGACCCTGTCCCCAGTGGGTGAGCCTATCTGTTCAGTTCCACTTGGCCTGGATGGAAAGTCTCTGTCTTCCTCCCCCCACCTGTCCCCCATGGGGTCATCCATGCCCCTGCCACACTGAGCAGGCAGAAGCCTGCCAGGTGCTCTCTCTTCCTCCCACAGACAGTGTGATTTCAAATGGTGACCAGTAAAAGAGAAAGCGCCTCTCCCTTCTCCTCCCCAAGTCAGGGCGGTTTCCAGGGGTGCCCGAGTGAAAGGGAAGGCACCAGTGAGTTGGGCAAGTGCCTTTAGCCATAAGCAAAAGTCCTAGCAGGCCAGTGACACCTAAATACTAAATTTTGTAATTAAATTAAGAGTTTGGTAGGCAGGTTTATTTTTGAGCAGCTTGTAAGGTGTCTGCCGGCTGCGCGCTGTCTGTGAAATGGGGTACAGCTACATTTCAGCTCTTCACTGTGATTTCTCAGCAACAGCCGCCCCATCATCTTCCCCTCCACCCCTTCCCCTCTTCGTGGTGTTCTTCTCAGCCTTTGGGGTGTTTATCAGCTCCAACTTCTCACTCCTCTCCCTCATCATCTTCCTTGTCTGCATTTTCATCATTTTCACCAGGGGTCTCTTCAGCACTCCAGTCTTCCTCAGATCTCATCTGTGAGCCTCCAGGGCCGACCTGGGCTTCTCCATCCACACTCCTTTAAGCCCTGGAATAAATCTCGAGCTGTCTGGGAAGTGATCACCAGACTTCGACTGGATTCCCTGGGCTCTGAGTAGAGCTCTGGGGGTACAGCTACATTTCAACCCTGGATTCAGGCTCTGTCTGAGACAGGGATCTGTCTGCAGGACTTTTTACTGGGGAGTGAAGACAGAAGGACTGCGCAGGGTGAGAGGTGAACTGTGATGCCACAGAGGCCTTGGTGGATCTCACCATCTCCCGTGGCTCTTCAGAGTGTCCTCTCTTGAGGCAAGGGAGGGGGACCTGGTCACTAGTCATTGGATGTACACTGCCCCTGGGAAGGGGCTGTGACCTTGTCCTTTTCTAGTTCAAATGTTTACAAAGCAAGGATTTTTTTCAGTATATGGATTTAATAACCACAACAACCCTGTGAGATACTGTCTCTGTCACTCAAGCCTCTCAGACGGGCAGACAGAGGCTTGAGTGATTATTTTTAGCCTAAAGCTCACATAATACTGTGACATACCAGGACTTGGACTCTGAAGTAATTGCTCTTTTCCTAATTCTCCTATTGCCTGTTGGATTTTTGTCCCTGATTTGCCCCTTTCTTTTAAATATCTATTGAATACCTAACTATACTTCAGACACTAGTCCAAGAAGCCCTATAAAAATCAAGGCTCAGCCTCCTGGAGCCAACGGGCCAGAGGGCCCAGGAGAGCTCTGCACACAGAGGAAATGATGAAGAAACACAACATCGGTGAGCCTGGCTGTTCTATGCCTGCTTGGCACCCATCGTTTCAAGTTCAGTGCTCCCGTTTGTTGGTGGAGTCCAGGGCAGTTCTAGGGAAGCTCCCTAACTCCGACTGGTGAGGAGATGGCACTGGGTCTTAAGTCAGACAAGACACAGAGGAGTCAGTCGCCCAGACGGCTCCTCTACCTTCGGTCAATTTCAAATTGCCCTTGAGTCTGCCAGAGCGATTTCAGCCCTTTCCCTACCGCCTGAACCAGACGCAGAACATCCTCTTCCCGTCGACCCAATTCTTCCCCTACCCACTGTTAAGTCTGGTATTTCAGACTGTCCTGGGTGAAAATAAAGAGCAGCCACTTTCTCCTGTCATGAACACCCCTTATAGAGAGGTTTCTTCTCATTTTAAAACACTTTAACACTGAAGACTAGAAATAAGTCAAATTGATGCGATCCATTAAACTGCATAGTGATAGATCAGTTTATTACTAAAAGTTGGCTAGAAAATGGAACGATTTAAAAGTTGCTCTAGTGTATCTCCCTGTTTCTTTGGAATACAAATTAATTCCTGAGGAACAGAGAGCAATATACAAGTTCCTTTTTTATAAGTAGCAATTGGATTTGCAGCTGAGCCCCTGGGTGCCCTGAACAAAGACGGTATTTTCCAGCTTCCCATGTGACTATGATTTCTAGCCAGAAGCATGTGGGCAACTTCCCAGTAATGGTCTTAAGAGGGGACATGTGTCCAATTTCTGGAACTTCCTATCTTCCCACAGGCTGGAAGAGGACCTAACTGGGGACACATTGGATTGTAGGGATGAGGGGAACATCCTACGGATGACAGCAGAAAAACTAAGAGCCTAGACCCTGCTGGGCGTTATAGAGCAGAACCTCAGTACCAGCTACTGGGAGTTGAGACAGTAGAGAAATCAACTTCTCTCTGGTTTAAGTCACTATTGTCTAGGTCCCATGCAACCAAACCTGTATCCTCACTAATGATCCCCAATGTCCAGCCACCCTACCTCTTCTTCCTAACATTCACCTTCAGGCATCCTACTGTGATCCAAATAAGTTTTCTTCTTGTGCTTTAGTGAGAGGAGTTTTTTGTTCAATTCCTACCAACAATTAGTGTCAAATGTAGACTGTATCTTACACTGAAGTAACTTTTTGTCAAATCCTAGACCTGAGCAGCAATAAGTCTCTCCATTTCTAACAACTGAGTTGCCACACTGCTAAGAATTTTGCAGAGCTTTACTATTTTACTATTAAATTTTTTTCAAAATATTTTATTTATTTATTTCTGAAGAGAGAGGTAAGGAGGGAGAAAGAGAGGGAGAGAAACGCTGATGTGTGAGAGGAACATCAGTTGGTTGCCTCTCACGCACTCCCAACTGGGGACCCGGTCCACAACCCAGGCACGTGCCCTGACCCGGAACTGAACCAGCAGCGACCTTTTGGTCCGCAGGACAGCATTCAATCCACTGAGCCACACACGCCAGGGCTATTTTACTATTAAAATGCTTTAATCTTGACATTGGTTAATCTTAAAAGTAAAAAACTAACCATATATTTGTTTTTATAAAGTACATACACAAGAAATAAATAATGTTCTGCATAGCATTTTTTAAAAAGCATCATCATATACAAATAAATCTTCAAGCCAAATGTATAAATACAGGACCCACTGAGGACTGGATTCCCAAGGCTTCCATTACCAAAAACAGGTGAGAAGCAACCAGGAGTCTCTGTCAGTAATATAAGCTCCACTTTGGCTAGCAAGCAATCACAGAAAGAACAGACAAACACACAATTGGAGAGAAAAAACACCTTGACTTATGACTTGACTGGTTATGTCTTCTGAAGCTTGGCATTGAACAAGGATGCAAGGCTGGCACAGAGTAAACAGTGTCCTTTAAAACCCTAAGTACAAAAATCAGTCTTCACCCCGCCTGATATCATATCTCCTTCCAAATAAATCTCATCTGTAAAAGCCCAACCCTTGGCACAGATACTTTCCTTAGGGCTTTCGGAATGCCTTTGGAAATAATTCTTTACTTGTCACATGTAAGGCTAACGGGTGAGAAGGAGCTATGGAAGTCTTGAAGAAGTTGCAGAGATGAACACACCAGGGACTTTGCCTCCAGGAATTCTGAGTCCTCTCCTGGCCCCAGCACCAACTAGGTACATAATTCTAGGCATGTGGCTGACCCTCGTGGAGTGTCGGTTTTGTGAAATGGGGGTAATAGCTTCCCTGTTCACCTCTTGTTGTTGTTCTCTAACGAGGTGACCCACGTGAAAATCTTTTGCAAAGTGAAAAAGGGTTTCTTGGGTATCATGTATATTAACTCAAATGAAGAGCTGGGGGTTTTGAAGAAGGTCAACACAGAAAAGGGGCTGGTGTTAGAGGAAGGTGTTCCAAGGAAGAAGCAACACCGAGTCCAATCTGAGCACCTACTGTTTGACAGGTGACGGTTCTGGTTAAACAGACATGTGTCACATATGTAACACCTTCCACCTTTCTGGACAGAGGAGATTATGCTCCCAAGCAACCGTATCTGGCAATTGGCCACCATCTGGTCCCCAGCACATAGGGTACCTGCTCGCTACTCTGCGGGTGATCAGCCATGCCACTCTCAGGGGGATACATGTGTTAACTGACAAGAAATGGGCAGAAACTGCTGAAAGCCTCAGGGTCCCCAACTCTTGCACCCTCTGGCTCTTTTCAATGTCCCTTGTGCCTTCATGACATGTATATTCATGGGTCATCTAAACTTGAAGGGAGCCTAGAAATCCCAACCTCATTAAGGTTAAATGCTTACAAAAATTGCCCAATCAAAAAAATGAACAATGGAAAAATAAGAAAGTCAATGATGCGTGCTTTTGAGAGTGAGTTAAGGAGCAGGACAGAAGGTAAAAAAAAGAAAGTAACCAATATTGATCAGTGCAGTTCATTGAACCCCAACAGCGAGGGCTTCAGCCTTGCCCCAGATCGACCGTGTCTGGGTGAGCAAGGACACAGGTCTGCCATCCTGACATGAGTCAGCTCCCAGCAGGAAGGCCTCCCAGTGGCTCAGGTGGGGCCAGGCAGCTGGCAGCCTTCCACGCAGAGCCACTGTTCCTTGTCAGGCAAAGCACAGGCTCACCCAATGACAAGAGCCAGCCTGGTGTGGACAAGAGGCCAGGCAGCTGGCCGTTTGCCGCAGATCTGGCCGTTGGGCTAATTCTAGAGCAGCAGCAGGAGCAGCAGGAGCAGCAGGAGCAGCAGATGCAGCAGGAGCAGCAGCACACGGTCCCCTCTGGCAAGAAGACTCAGTGGTAACAATCCAGGTCCTGGGCCCCCCCAAGCAGGCTCTTTCCTGTGCTCCAGGGTCAAGACCAAGACGGGTCCTTCCGTCAGGTGGGTCCTCAGCAGTAACTTTCCTCCATGTGCTTGGACGGCGGGGCGGGGGCCTTGCTGGCACCCTCAGGGAAGCTCCACAGTTTGCCTGAAAGGAACCCGTGAGAGTGGCCTTCGTTAGCTCGCTTAGCACACCCCGCAGCCAGTACGGAGGGTATGCCCTGTTCACATCACAACCAAGCTGTCTTACAAACCTGCCGGACCCTTTTCCTTGTTTCCCTTCCAGAACTAATGGAAAAGGTCCTGAGTGCTTCTTTCTCCCCATCCTCCACCACACTGGAGGCCTCTCTGGGTGCCTCAGCATTGGCATCCACACACTAAGCACAATACTCACCTGCAACACACACACGCACACAAGGCACTTGCACGTGTGTACACACCTGTGCAACTGTGGGGAGAACTATCAACAAGTCCTCTGCCTTGATCGAGAAACAGAATGGAGACCATAGAATGGCAAGGAGCAAACAAGTCGGAGCCCAGAGACCTCGGTTCTGATCTCGGCAGCACCGACTCACTGTGGAACCTCCTGGAACCTCAACCTCCTTATCAGTGGAGAGGTGAACAGTGCCCAGGTCAGCCAACAATACTGCAGGCGTTACACAGGTTGAGGGATGTCGGGACTTCCTAGAGTTAATTTATTGCTTGGGCTACCATTGTTTATTGTTCCTCTGAGGGAGAAGGAAAAATGACTTGCTTTCTCAAAGAGGTAGCATGAGATAAGTTACAGCACTCTCAGCTCTCACAAAAGTCCGGGGTGAAAAAGAAGAAAATATCTTATTATAGATACTTTATCATGAGGACAGCGATCCTTCCTGGACATCTCCAATCTATGCAGCTGTTCTGAGGGTCCCTGAAGTTAATACATGAGGAAGTACTAGGAAAGGTATACATTTTAATACCAACATAAAAAATTAAAATTCTTATTGTAGCACAAAGTCATATGAGCCTAGACTGAGTTGCTTAATTAGACGGGCAGTTTCAGAATCCCACAGGCCCTGTGGTCACCGAGCCTGTGGTCCCACTGATGTTCTGGAATGAGAGACAGAGCTGCTGGCATGCAGACCAGCCCGCAGGGCTGGCAGAGTTCATCGCCGGGGACCCTGGTGTGAGTGCAGCTGCTTGGTAACTGATACCCAGACTGTGGTGAGGCAATTTACCTGAGCAGGTGGGATGTCCGTGCTTCAGAGGGAACACAGGCTCAGAGTAAAACAATTGGCCTCCGTCCTCCCTCTGTCCTGACCAGGTGGAGGACCTGGAAAGACTGGCCGAACTGAGCCTCCACCAGGTCCCCACCTGTCCACAGGGCAAACCACACCAGCTTCCTGGGGTTGGTGATATAGGTAAATGACATAACATACGGAAGGCACTAGACGCAGGGCGGGCACATCTGTGTGCTCGGTGTACGGCAGCGGCCTTATTATCTGGGACCTTGGCTAGGGCAAGAGGTGGGGGCCGGTGGGGAGCTAGTCTCTCTCCTCTTGGGCAGATGCTTAGGTCAGAGGAAGTACGACAAATTCCCCTTTGGGATGTGCCCACTGCCTCACACCTTGAGATGTCAGCTTTCCTCAATTCAGAAGCAAAAGGCCTCCAGCACAGGGCAAGGGGGCAGTGAGGTAAGATGATGCTTTTGTCAGTTTGTCATGACACAGACCAGAGTTCCTCAAAAAGAGCAGAATCGCTCACTAATATCCACTCGTACTGACCTGGGTTCCCGAAAGCCAAAAAATCAAAACTACTTTGTGGTTTTCCTTTACCTTCCCCTCAACTTCCCACTCCAACCTCTGCCCTGAAGGAAGCTGGGGACCCTGGAACGTCCCACAGCCCCGCTCACCATGGAGAAGTCTCGTCTAAGATGGGGCGTGGGCACCAACCCCAGGGATTCAGTTACAAAAGACACTCCCCCAGGACCATGGCTGTGACCCTATGTGGTCAGGCAGAGCAAGAGGCAAAGGGGCACTAACACCCTCCGACATCCTGTGTGTTCTGCTGACTTGCCTATCTCCTTGCAGCGGAAGGTCGGCTTCACATAGGAGGGGATCTCTCTCCGTCCTGTTCACTGCTATGTCCCAGGTGCCCAGCCCCGGGCTAGGTGACCAGTCAAGATGGGCTGCACGCACATAGGGAGAGCCCCACTCACCTGGTTTCGTTTCTTAGTCTCCACCTGTCCTGACACTTGTGAAACCAGAGCTCTTGGCCGGGGGATATGCTGGTGTTCTCAGGGTCTTCTGCACAAAAAGCAAACCTAGAAGGAAAAAGAAACCACTGAGGCAACCAACACTCTAGAGGGGAAGGTGGCGGGCTGTGCATTAGCCAGACAGTGCTTTCCTCCGATCCAAGGTGGGCGGAGCCAAGGTGGGTGAAGCCGAAGTGGGCGGAGCTGGGGGAAAAGAGCAGTTCTCATCCTGCTGCATCCTGACTCAAGAACCTTCATTATATGAAATGTTAAAAGGACTTATCTTAGAAAAAGAACTTAAAAAAACATGAACAGTGAAAGGACAGCAAACTCACAGTATTAACAACCACACCTAAAACAAAAGCAAACTAAAAGGACAGTTAGATCAGGAGTGGAAACATAGAAATGAAGATCTCAAGGAGGGTTAGCAACAGGGGAGTGGGAGGAGGAGAAGGGGGAGATGGTACAGAAAATAATTAGCATAGACAGTAGATAGAAAATAGATAGGGGGGAGGGTAAGAATAGTATGGGAAATATAGAATCTAAAGGACTTGAGACACATGGTCATAAACTAAAGGGGGGGTAATGGTGGGGATGGGGGTAGGGTGGAGGGGAATAAAGGGGGGGATAGAACAACTGTAATGGCATAATCAATAAAAAATTAAATTTATTAAAAAAAAAATGGTAAAAATCTGAAAAAAAAGAACCTTCAGAACCCAGGCGAGCGCTCTAACCCATGTCTCTCACTGACCTCTCCCGTGATTCGGCTCATGCAGCCTTTACTCATACCACTTCCACACTCTCCCCTCTGTCTCTCCAAAAGACTGCCTGCCTGTCTGAACCTCCATGATGGCCTGAGACTCTGATCTCTCAATTTAATAGGAAAGCATGTCCTTGTATAAATGTGGCTTTTGTTATCGTCACTCCTTCTTATGGCCTGGTGTTAATAATGAGTGCCTTGATGTGCCTGTGGATTCCTCTCTCCATGGTGGACTGTAAACTCCTCGGCTGGAGGGACTCAAGGCGCCTCCAGTTCTGTGCTCACAAATACCCACTGACAAGCATGGCGGAACTCAGCTGGGAGTCAAAATCAAAGATTCAGGAAGTGGACAGCCAAGATCACAGACAGAATCAATGTCCTAATAACCACTTCAACTAAAACTTACAGCCAAGCCACGTGGGTTACTCCCACCTCAGTGGCGGGTGATTAGCATGACCCCATGACCCACTGGTCACCCCAAGGACAAAAAGCCTAATCAGAACCACTTCGAGAACTTTTAACAGGAAGTGCAAACAGTACCTAAACATATAAAAGGGTTACTCACCTTATTACAACCAGAAAAAGTTTAAAACAACAGTAAGGGACCAATTCATACCCCACAGAAGAGCAAGAATGTCCCACCAAATGTAGGTGCAAAGGAGGGGAAAGGAGGACTCTTATTTTGTGGCTAAGGTTAAAATTGGTCCACCAACTTTGGAGAGAAAAATTAATAATACCTAGCCAAGTTGGAGAAGACATATACTATAACTGAGCAACTCCACTGGTTGGTATTTATACCCCAAAGGAGCCCTCTCACATGTGCACAAGCATATTCATCTCAGTGCTATTCGGGACTGCTGAAAAGCAGCAGCCACTGAAACATTCGGCAGAGCAATGGTGAAACAATTGTACAATGACATTATGCACACAGAATAGACTAGAGCTATATGTATTGGATAAATTTCATAAACAGTATTGAATAAATAAAAGCAGCTTGTTAAGGATATATCCACTTATAAGTTTTAGAAGCATCCAAAACAAGCAGAAATACAAAAGGTAAAAAAGTCACGAAGGAGGGCAAGGCACTAATATTATTTAATGTTGGAAGATCAGTGCATTTGGTTTGAATGGAGAGGAATTGAACACAGAAAGGGCACAAAGGAGCTCCAGCTCCACCTGGAATGTGTTACTTTTAAAAAATCTTCTATCTAAAACAGTATGGGAAACCACTTACATTTGTGAAGTCTTAGTAGTTTATTATATTTGAAACATTTTATAAAAATGGTCCTCTTTCTGCTACCACACCTCTAGGCACAGGTTGCACTTACAAGTAAAAGACACAATTATTGAGACCACAGCCTTGGCACTAACAGCTTCTCCCAGCTGGCGCTCCCCCCCTCCCCAGTTCACAGGTTTCTAGAGCAAAATCAGTAGGACAAGCAGCCCAAGCCTCCTCCCCTCTCCCAGCTATCCTGTGCCAGGGCAATGGATGGAAACAAGGGAAAATGACAGGTAAGACACAAAGAGGATGGAGACACAAAGAGGTCGGCTGCCCCCAACTACCCCCAGGCTGGCCATGACCTCCTAGAGGTCTGCTGAAGGATTTGACCAAAGTCCCTCCCATTCTTGAGAAAGGTCCTAGAAAGTAGGGTTTAAGGTGCTAACAGATAAAGGTCTGTATTTATCATGCTAATCTTGGGGTTAACAAACGTGGGAAAACTGCCCACTAGCTCGGCAGAAAGGATTCTCTTTTACTTGACGTCAGGACCCGCCCCATGACCTTGACTTGCAGCCTCAGAAGGAGAGGTCTAACGCTCTGGAAACAGGATGCTGAGGAAACCAAGTCCTCCCACAGACATCATCGCAGGGGCTCCCTGGACCTGACACTCTGGTTTGCTCTGCACAAGAGCAAGCCAAGACTTGGGGCTGCATGGACCTCAGGGCCAAGAGATTAGAAAGGCAGCACTCCTGAAGAGCCCTGTCCAGGAGCGGCCCCCTTCCTCTGGGCCAACCCAGCACTTGGAAAACAGACGAGGGCTGCATTGCAGGCCCAATTTATGTACCCTTCTCAGCCAAAGGCCTGGGATCACGGCACAAAAGTTGACACAGGATTTGACCTGGAATTTGCTTTTCCTTGAAAAAGTATTTGAGGTTTTGCCCGCGTGCGGATGTGAAAGGACTGAAGGCGCTTGCTTAGCAAAGGATAGGACGCTGCTGAGACACACTTCCTGCCTGCTACTGATGTGGGGCCCGAAAGGGTCATGAGGCACTTACTTCTTCTGGGTTTCCCCAGACTTGACCCGGATGCGCCTGACATTCACTTCCTGCTTGGACTTTGGGGATTGAGACAGCAAGCTGCGAAGCCCATTCCACAGGCTGTACCAGGACTGAGATGCCTTCTTCCAGGTGAGTCTGATCTTCAACAGGTCTCCCAAGTCCTCCTCTGTGTAGACCAGGAAGCTGTTGGTGGCATTCAGTCCGATCTCCACTCTACAAAGGGGAGAGAAAAGCTTGTCTCATTCCCCGCCCCCTGGGAAATTGCCACACCATGTGGGGTGACCCAGTGGTAGCACCTGCCTCCCGCAGACTGGAGAGAAATGAGGGGAGCTCCCTCCCCAGTGCCCCCATCTGTGTTCCACCAGCAGGACCACAGTAGAAGTCCGATGTGCAACATGCTGACCTACAGCACCCCACCTTCTTATCAAAACCATTCCTGAGCACCTCCCTATTTATACTACTTCCTGGGGGCACAGATCCAAGAAAAAACAGAAATAAAGAAGCACAGAGTTGCATCCCCACTCAACAGTATCCTCTTCCTCTGCACCCACAGGCATTGGTCTCCCAAGAAAGTCCTGGTGCCCTCCTGCCCATTTGGCACCTGGGGAGCCTGCCTCACCCCATTTGTGTGTGTGAGTGTGTGCACATGAAGCTGCTCTCCCAGCTAGACCCTGAGCCTGGGAGCCAGTACTGCGATGCCATTCCTTTGCAATCCCGGCACTGTGCAGCCTGACTCTTTGTACCCTAGGAGTCTCACCAAATCTATATAGATTCTGTGTGTCCGCCCCACAGAAAATCGGAAATGGTCCAGGGATAGCTTACACCGTTCCAGATTCCCTAAAGCCTCAGGGGTCAGGCATTGTCTAAAATGACACAGCAGTTTCTGCCTTCCAGCAGCTTCTCACGCTGCTGATTCATCCTGGAAGCTTCCCTCCCAGAAATGTTCTGTGTCAAGGGCTTGGTGGGAGAAAGCCAATGGAGAGACAGAGGACTGCAGGGACCGCTGGAACCACCCAGCCCCTCCCCCAGGCCCCCAGACTACACTCTTCCGCTCTGTTCACAGGCTCCTGCATGCTCTCATTCTGTCCCAACTGGCCCTCGCCCCAGCAAAGGGAACTTGGAACTTACGTTTCCAATGGCAGCATCTGGGAGTCTGCACCGATGCCATAAAGGGTGACATAAAATGTGGGCTCTATTTCTGTCGTATTCTCGTAGCTGAAGACGTGGATTTTCATCTGATAGTGATAAACTGCAGAGGCAGCAGAGCAAAGGTATGTGTCAGCCTTGACTGCCATGCCAGAGAGACCTGTCCCTAGCTCAGCCACCCAGCACACTGAGTGAGTTTTTAGGGACGGTCATCCTTTTGGCCCAGCCCAGCCTCCAGCTTCTCTCTGGTCTCATTCTGTCCAATGGTTTAAGAAGTCACTGGGATATAGAAGAGGGAGCTCTAAACTTGGGGTTCAGGAGAGCTTTTGGGGATTCTGGCCCACCTACTTTCCTGCTACATAACCTAGCATTAAGAACCAAGGCTCTTTAAGCCTTAATTTCCTAATATGTAAAATAATACCCCCAATACCCACAAAGCTTTATGGTTTTATAACATGCTATAAAGAGGCAGACATCATTTTGATCCCCTATTGGTCCTGCCTCGGATTTTTCGTAATGATCAAATGAGAAAACAAATACGAAACAGCTTTGAAAAGTTAAAGGCAAGAGAGATTTAAGATGTCAAATGTGATTGTGGCATGATAATTCACACAACAAAAGGAGTCCCCACCATTTGTTCTTAAAGATTAAATCTCCACGGCATGCACAGCATAACCCGATCTGCAATGATTTGATTTAACTGTGCCGGCCACACCTCTCTCGCTGGGATGTGCCCTGTCCCACAAGGCATTTAGAAGGAGGGCGAAGATAACCCTGGGGCCCTGGGGGACAGAGGGTTACCTCTGAAAGGCATGCCCGCCCGGGTCTTTAGGTACATCTTGCTGTTCCTCTTGTTCCTCGTTTTCTTGGTGTTGTAGCCAATGCTGTTACAACGGTTCTTTCGGCAGCTGAGACACATCCCCTTTTTGAAGCGGGTTGAGTCCGTGCACTGGTACGCAAAGCTCGGCTTGTCGTGATTCATCAGGGAGTCGACAAAGAGGTATATGGCCCGCTCATGCTCACATTTCATCCCCTCTGCGAATGCTGGTGAAGGAGAAAGGCAGAGACGGAAAACATGCCGGATAAGCCACTTGTCGATGATTCCCCACTCAGTCAGTAAGTACTGTGCAAAACTGGGAGTCACAAAATAGTCATGGGGGCGTACAGCGCAGCAAACACAGCCAATAATATTGTAGTATCTGTGTACAGCGCCGGGTGGGGACTGGAGACAGCGGAGGGACCACTCTGTAAAGATTATGATTGTCTAACCACTATGCTGTACCCCGGCCACTAACATAATATTAAATGTAAACTGCAATTGAGAAATAGAAAAATAAGTACTATACACCTCACCAACCATAACTAGTTGCACTGTTGCTGTTTGTATTCTTGTTTGTGTAATTCTGTGCACTGCCCCAGTGCTAGGCTTCCTCCCACTAAGATGCAGGAGAGTTAGAGGCCATTCCTCCTGCCTCACCACAGGCTCTCCAGGCAGGAAGGCAGCCCTAATGCACACAAAGCAGCCGGGAGCAACAGAGCACATGCAATAGGCCTGAAATCGGGTGATGAAGAGCCATGTCCAATAGAAGTCACCAAGTCCTGATAAGGTTGTACGGTCACAAAAAGGGGGAAATGGACCAGATGCTAAACATCATCCCGTCTGAGGCTCAGCAAACTACGGCTCACAGGCTGACCACTTGTTTTTGCAAATAAAGTTTTCCTGGAATGCAGCCACACTCGTTTGCTTGTATGTTGTCTACGGCTGCTTTTGTGCCACAGCAGCAGAGTGGAGTGCCGAAAACAGGCTCTGGCCTGCAAAGCCTGAAATATTTACTAGCTGACATTTTAGGAAAATGTTTGCCAACCATATTCTAGTCTATTCCTCTCCATTATAACCTAAAGGCCCATAAATGTGAAGTAATTTGCTCAGGCTCACACACACAGCTGGTTTCAAAGTTAGAAGTATCACTTGGATTTTCTGGCACATAATCCACCATTATTTCTTGTAACCAGAGGCTGAAGCCAATAGTTCTAGTAAGTCCTGGGACCCCAGAAATACCCCATTCTCACTAACACCACCAGTCTGAAGAAATGCACCCTGACAGGTGTGGCTCAGTGGGCTGAGCATCGGCCTGGGAACTGAAAGGTCGCTGGTTCTACTCCCATTTGAGGTGCATGCCTGTTTGTGGGCCAGGTCCCCAGTTGGGGGCACAATCAATGTTGCTCTCGCACATGGATGTGCCTCTCCCTTTCTCCTCCCTTCCTCTCTCTCTAAACAAATAAAAATAAAATGTTTCTTTCTTAAAGAAAGAAAAAGAAAGAAGGGAAAGGAGAGGAGAAAGAAAGAAAGAAAGAAAGAAAGAAAGAAAGAAAGAAAGAAAGAAAGAAAGAAAGAGAGAGAGGGAGGGAGGGAGGGAGGGAGGGAGGGAAGGAGGGAGGGAGGAAGGAAGGAAGGAAGGAAGGAAGGAAGGAAGGAAGGAAGGAAGGAAGGAAGGAAGGAGTTCCATCCTCCCATCCCCTGAGGCAGGGCTGGACTCCTTCTGCATGGACCTCCAAGTCCTTCAGGGGCTACTTGGATACATGGTCACATTGGGAGAGGGCAACAGTCTTAATACTGAGTGTCAGAGCAGGACACCCAAGGGCACAGCATCATAGCAGAGGGAACCGACTGAGGCCAAGACTTAGAGATGCTGCCAGGATCCAAGGCAGTGAGTGAAGGAGAAATCCAGAAAGAGGTCAGCCGTGGAGGCCACACATCTGTTTCAGTAGGAAACTTGGCCAAGCCCAGGCCTGCTGGGAGCAGACTCAGGCATCTGAAGACAAATGATAAGTGAATAGGGAAAGCATCTTGGGTTCACTTCTTTAAAATGTTACAAAAAATACATTATAGTGTATTCATGCTATAGAGTATCATGGTCTCTAAAAGTGAGAAGGTAAGATTTCAGTGCTCTGACGTTTAAGAATGACCATAATATATACTATGATTGAAAAAGGAAAGTCACGGGACAATGTCATTCTGACAAATACCATTAGACACACACGCATAAATAAATTTGCAGAGAAAAAGACTGGAAAGACAACACTGTTCACTCATATTGACTAGTTCTGAAGGGTGAGTAGAAGCAGGAGTGTGAGGTGAGGGGGCAACTTTGCTTTTTGCTTTACACAATTCTATATTGCTCGATTTTATTCAACAAATAGGTATTTCTTTTGTTAATCAATAGAAACTGGACCTCAAAGCATGAGAAGGCAGAGCAGAGACCATGGGGCGGGCTGTTCACAAGCTTATTGGACGAGAAATGGCAGACAGTGTTTGAGGGCCCCTGTGCAGGGTGGGGTGGGAATGATACAGTAAGATGGTTGGGACCTCTCACAGTTTGGGCTGATTTAGGAGGAGATGCAATAACTGAGTCAAACCTCCCATGTAGCAGAAAATAAGGAACTCACTTCCATATGCAATTGACCCCAAAATGTCGTTGAGTCCACAGCCTGGCTGGAAGTCACCCCCATTGGGGTAGATGTCGATGTGGCCCACGGGCCTCTGGATCCCGATGCTCAAGCCGAAGGAACGCGTGTAGGTGTGGAGGACGTCCACAAAGTCCGCATCGTCGGGGGACAGCCGGCTGTGGCTGTCTGCCTTTTCAAACAAGGGCCCAGCCGGATCCAAACCTACGGCAGAAGGGGGAGCCGATACCAACCGTGTCAGGTGCACCAAGTCAGGGCAAGTCCGCGTGTGCAGGAGGACACTGAACTTGGAGCCTGGCTGATCTGGAACGCTCGGTGCCTGCTGTCAAGGAATTTCTGCTTTCTTCTGACGCCTTCGCCTGTCCTGACACGTCAGCTGATTCAGTCAGTTGGCCACCAGCTGCACCCTGACCCGCAGCTCTGAGGAGCCATGGGGCTGTCAGAATGGCAGCCGTTCTAGAAAGAACTTGGACTGGCTGAAACTAAGCCATTCATCCCATTTTTCCTGGCACTGAGGAGCCTTCCACGGCCTCAAGTTAACAGGAGTTTTACAAAATAACTGAGCCTCCTACAATTTTGGGAAGGAAGCCTCAGTCTCCCAAATACACTGAGCTGTTTACATTTGGACTTACTCTCCCCCTTCCTTGAACGATGGGGTCAGGCCCGGGAGTGGAGGGGTGAGATACTCTGATAGTCTGTATCTCTCACCTCCAGAATTTCTCTGTGTCGCAGCTACAAAGAGAAAACATTGTCGCCTGAACACTTTCTGGATTGAACAGGCAAGTAGCCTGGTAGAGAGTACTGGTCCTCACATTTGAAAATCACAAATATCACTGGGAGCTTGTTACAAAATTCAGATTCTACTTTGTAACTACAAAGAGCTCTGGAAGGGCAGAGCAGCCACTGGTCACCTGTGGTATGTGTGTCGGGGGAGATGGCAGGGCAGGGCACTGGGCAGGGAGTGGCAGCCATGAGAGAGACTTTCACTATCTTTTAATTTTGGAACCACATGAACACAAAACCATTTTAAAAAAAAACTGTGAACTATAAAATGCAGATTCCCTGGCCCCCTAGAGATTCTGACTTGTAGGTCTGGTGTGGAGCCCAGACATATATATTTATTCCCCAGGTGACCCTAAAAGTAGGTAGTCTGTAGGCCAGATTTTGAAAAATTTCTCCCTACTTCAGTATCATCTGGAAAAATGGACCTGAATATCTCAATTCATACAGCTCATGTGAGAGAGTGTGAGGCTAAGTGCTTGTCAGGGCAAATACTGGCTCTTGTTACCAAACGCAAGTAATTATGGGAGCCAAACACATCCCAACCTAGAAGGCTCTCGCCCTACAGAAAACAAATGAAGAGACTATGTACAGCAGAGGAGGGGAGTCTGTTTAGTCTAGAATAGCGGTTCTCAACTGGGAGTGATTTTGCTTCCAAGGGGACAGTTGGCAATGTCTGGGGTCACTTTTGGTTGTCACAATTGCAGGGGGACATTGTGCACGGAAGCTACTAGCATTGCACGTAGAGGGTAGAGGCCGGGGGTGCTGACACACACCCAACAGCGCTCAGAGCAGCCCCCACTACGAAGCATTAACTGGCCCCAAATGTGAAGAGAGCCAAGGCTGAAAACCGTGATTGAGAAACAGCAAGGCAGAGAGGAGGTGTCCCCAAAACCAGTCCTGAAATGCAGGGGGTGGGAAATGGAACGGTGCTCCCAGACCCCGGGGCCATGGAACGAGGGAGCTCAATGGGAGGCTGAAAGAGCAGTTTTGGGGTAAACAAAAGGCAACACCGTTGTCCAGAGAGAACCTGTGGAACCCATTCTCATGAGGACTGTAAAACAGTTTTTAGAAGTTTAGATCAATGTATGTAAAACGGGGGCCAAAAGGGAGCCCAGGCTGCTCGGGACCCAAAAGAAAGGTGGCACAAAAGGAGTGTCCTCTCAGAACAGTCCATGATGACGCATTTTAGAGGCTACAGAGACCGCAGATCTGACACAAGTGGCCTCTCCCTGCCTGCTGCCATGTCCCCTGGAGAAAAATAAATAAATAAAGAGGAGCATTCTGCTTTGCAACCAACATAAGAGAGGAGCTCTTTGCTTGGTGTGAACAAAAGTCTCCACCAGACGGTCAGCACCATGGAAACCAAGCTGGGTTGGAGGAATGCAGGCAGCGGGGCTTCTTCATGACCAACCGACCGCTGACGGCCAGGCTGAGCCTGCACCTACCCAGGCTGACCCGGCCTGACACAGAGCCAGGGCCCAGGGACCTGGCAGAAAAGTTCCACAAATTACTTTTTTAACTAGGAACTGGAGGAAGAACTTACTCCCTCCAGAAAGACAGAAGATGGAGAACCACCCCTTTTTCCATTTAGTCTGACTCCCCCAGAAGTGCTCTGTCCAGCGAATGGGATACACACGCACGTACACACGCACACAGGAGCACTTCTGCATTCTGGCTTGGCAGGGCAGAGCCTCCTGCACGACATACAGCTCCTGCAGTGACCGGGGAGAGGCCGTGTGGTGCAGTGGGTAGGGGCGGGCTCTGGAATCGGACAGCCTGGGTTTGAGTCCCAGCCCTGCTACGCAGGATGTAAGATATCGCACTCATTGTTTAAGCAGGGTCATAGTCTCCTCACCTGTCTAATGGAGCCAAAGGACTCCCTTTGCCCAGGTGCTCTGTGACTTACCTGTCACAGGCAAGAAGTACTTGTCACACATTAAGTGCTTGACACTAAGCTGCAACTAACCCAGAGCCTACCGACTGCTCATTTCATTTATATTTCTTGAAGAATGAATAAATCTGTCTGCTTACTTATTTATAACTAACTAGATGTAGGTTCAATGAGAAACATATGCCCTCTTTACTAGCATATCACAGAATTCTCTCAGGAGCCTAGGAGTGTAAAACCGGAGCAGACCCCAACATGCAGCTCTGTGATCCAAGCAAGACTGGGATTCAGGTGTCCCCCACTGCGGGCCGCAGGCCTCTGCACAGCAGCAGCGCCCAGGGCCCCAGGGCCCCATTCCAGCTATAGTCTCTGGTCCCCTCACCAGTCAGGACCCCCTGGTGCCCAGGCCCAGGAGAAGTCCGAGGGCAGAGGGAAGTTTACAAGCCCCCCGCCCCTGCCCCCCATCAGACATGCGCAACAGCACATGTCAGGTCATCCACATACCCTCTGAGGGGCTGCTTGGCAACTGGGCGGAGGCCACGCCTTCCCCCCCCCCCGTGCTCACCCCACCCCCTGCTCCACAGAGAAAAGCTGGAAAGAAGGGGCTGAGCTCAGAACACGCGGCCCCCGTACCCCAGGCAGACAGCACGGAGGACTGATTAGCATTCTGCCAGCGAAGCCCACATCCCAGGGGCTGCCACCCAGACAGGGGAAAGAACAGGAATGCTTCATACTAGCGCCCCTCTCATTTGGGATTTAGAAATAAGGAAAGGGGGGCTCTGCAGCTTGTCCTTGCTGCTTAGGCCTTTCTGGTGGGGGCCTAGTATGCGCTGGCCCCCACCAGACCTGCTGGCCTGGCTCTGGACATTCCGCTTCGCACTGGGGCTAGGAGGAGGTGCTGAGACAATTGGGCCCAGAGTGGGGTAAGGTCAGACGGCTTTGCTCCGGCAGCAGGTTAATGAGCAGCCATGTGTGGCCACACAGCCGCCGTCCTCTTAGAGAGCTCAGGCCCTGCCGTCCTGGTGATAAAACATAAAGCTCTCCAAGTATGCTGAAGCAAATAACTGAATCTAAAGGAGTGTGTGCAAGCGTGCACAAGCACATTAGGCATAAACCAAGGACAATGACAATAAGGAGGGCTGCTAAAACCTCAGCGATTCATGTTTTTTATAAATCCGCCCCACCAGCTTACAGTATCGCTGAAATCCGATATTCCACCTTCGCTAAATCTTTCTTTAGCTAAGACCACACCTCTACCTAAGTCCCATTTCAAAATGCACATGCTGTTGGGAAAGAAATTGATCAACTCCTTCCTTCTATTTTGGGGGCAAAAGGGAAGCTGTGGGGGGAAGACAGCAGAAGGTGGGAAGGAGACTAGAAGTTCAGGGCAACCAATGGGCCACTTGTTTTAGCCCAGAGGAAGCCCTGAGCTGTGATTGAGGGGTCCCCCAACACGAGAGAAAGACGATCTTCCCCACTTTTCACAATCATTGAAGGATTTCATCCAAGCTCTCACATCAACAGCTAGGCAAAATGGAAAGCTCGATTTTCTGTTGGCAACCTAGGTGCTAATATCAGAAAAGTCTCTTTAAGGACAAAGTTTAATCATCTGTTTCAAACAGGTCATTATCACTAATAAGTCTTCCAGCTAAACATTGGCAAGAGGCTGTTGGTGGATGAAATAGAAATCAGAGGCAGAAGTCAACCTAGAATCCACCACTAGTTCTTTCTTTTGAGTTTCTAGAGTATCGCAAGTGGAGATGGGACGCGGGCCCCAGAAGCAGGGAGGCTCACTTTAGTTGTGAGCTGTTTGACCTTGGGTGTTTCCTCACCTGTTGGGTCAGACCAGTGGTTTTCAGACTGTACTTCCCTGGGGCTCTGGGCCACTGCAGTGCCTCCGGGAAAGGGGACGGTCCGAACAGCAAGGCTGACACTGTCCACCACACAGCTGCCTCGACCAGAATGTCCTTTCTGTGTCATATCTTGGGATGCCACACAAGTGTAATTTGCAAAAGAAGAGTTCTGTGACTGCATAGGACATTTGAAAAGCTAGGGGTTAGATGTTCTCCAGGTTTTTTCCAAAACTATTGCTCTATGGTTCACCCACGCTGCCTCATTTGGGAGCACTCTTGTTCTGAAAGGCCAGCTTGTCAGAGGGGCCGGGAAGCCCAGGGACCGGCTGTTTGTGGAGGAAGCTGAGCTTACCCGTGATTCTGCCCACCGTGCCCTTCACAAAGTTGCCAGCGTACCCAGCCACGTGAGCTCCAAGGCTGTAGCCAATCAAGTGAACATTCCCAAGAGAAAAACCGTCCTTCTCCTGCAGGAAAGCACAAAAGTGTGTCAGTGAGCGTGTAGTCCTGATCCCACAGAGACCCCCACAATCCAACAGTTCGATCACAGCAAGGAGACACGGGAGTCAGGGGCAGAGACTTGCAGGGGCATGGCTGGCTCTGAGGGCAATGCAACACAGATGGAGCACAGCCAGGAAAGAGGAGGTCAGAAGGACTCGGTGGTACTGCAAATGCCAAGTGCCAGCGGCAGGTTGTGACTAGAAGCTGTGTACCTGACCCTTCCCCTACATGTTTTCCATTCTTTCCAGCAGCATCTAAGGGGGGAGGGTGGCAGTGTGGAGGTCAAAGCCACCAGGCTCACTGGAGACTAAGTGCCAGCCTTGGCCTGCAGCTGCATATCCTTGCCCACTGTCTCAGGCCCCAGGAGCTGCACCCTCACTACAAGTTTGCCTGGGATCCCAGAGTTGCACCCCAACAGGGTGCTCTGATGGTGGGGTTGAGGAGGTGGGGGTTTGACCCCCACTGCTCAGGAACCAAGTTCCCCAAAACAACCTGGGCAGAAGACTGTGGGACTGTTTGAGAACCCAGAATTTTAAGACCTTTAGATTTGTTTTCCACGCTTGATATTTTAAGCAAGGCAGTGGGCTGCATTTGTGTGAACCAACACCCTCCCCACTCTCAGGACAGGCACCCTCCAGAGGAAAAGCAGACGGCCGTAGGTTTATAAGATTACAAGCTGGTCCTGGCTCCTGGCCATTCCCAACCAACTTAAGAGTACGTTTCCAGTATCAGAAAGTAATGACTCATCAGGCAAATTTTTTTCTAGCAAATAAAGTAACAGGAAGAATCCAGAGACATATCAGTAATGAAAAGGCTCTCTAAAAGTCCCAGATTTCAAGTATTTCAAGTCATACTTCATGCAGTAACAATGTGAATCCCAGAGATTTTGATCAGACATCTGAAGTCCACTGTAACATGGTCTGACCCCTATTTCTTAAGGTTTGAGTTCAAGATACTGCTCACGAAAGACGACTTCCTCTCATCCCCAGTACCTGCAGCCCGTCAAGCAGCCTCGCGATGCTCTGTCCCACCGCCCGAATGTTGTTGACCGCGTCTGTGTAAAGCTGGTGAGCCAGGGGCAGCCAGTCAACCACCACGACATTGGCTTCTTTCTCTCTCATCCGCAGGGCTGACACGAGCTTGTACAGCCACTGTTCAAATACACCACTCATCTGCAAAGAAAACAAGACATTTAAAAAAATTCTCTGTGCTCAGAGATCCTAATGAATATAAGATTCAGTTCCATGATCCTCTTCCCAGCCGATTCCAGAATCTTCACCTTAACTGCACAGGGACTGAACATTTGCACGTGAGCAGGGCCAACCACAGGCAGGGTTTCTACGTGGGTGTTTGTTTTCATTGCTCTTTATATCCCTGGTTTTTCTCATCAAAATGTTCATAGCTGCTGCCCCTACTGTCCTATAAAGCCACTGTGAGGTATGTATTGGTGGCAATGCTGGTCTGAGGTTGGCCTGAGTCCCTATCACAGTCAGGCAAAGTGACCTGCTCCATTGTTCAAAGGCAGCTGGGAAGGGTTGCCCTGGAGAATTAGCTTCTCTCTTGAAGATGCGGGGAGATGGTGTCTCCTAGGCAAACGCCAAGTTAACAAATGACCCCACCCCACAACCCATCTCCTCCATGCCTCCTGACCCCAGAGAAGGGAAGATCCATCCCAGGAATCCCAAACTAGAACTCGGGACACATTTTCCCACAGAAACAAAGTAGAAATGGTGACAAGGTCCAGTTGTAAACCTCTCCACAAGCACATTATTAGATAAAAAGATTTTCTGTGCCTGTCCTGGGAACCTACCCGCCATTTACAATCTCGCTTCTATGGGAAACTGCTATTCCAAGTTCCAAACAGATTACAAAAGAACTTTCTGGAATGCAACCCATTTGTAAGTTGCAGGCAGTTTGTATTTGCATTTTGACGGAGGGGGGGTGCGGGGGGTGCGGGGGGCTTAAGAAGATTCAAATGCACGATTCTAATCATGGGCTGTGGGATGCAGACAGCTGGCTGGACAGGCCTTGAATTGCCTCTTCAATCACATCAGATACATAGGCACCTACTCCCCGACTCCCCCCAGGCCTGACCCCAACAGTTGGTGATAGACCTAAAGACCCAGGAAACATGTAATGGATATGAATTTCTCATCATTAAGAAGAGGAATGTCCCCTCCCAATTAGCCCGGGCAGAAACCTACTCACTTAGTAGTGCCATTTTCCTACAGACTGTGACTATATGAATGAATGAATGAATAAATCCCTTGCTGGTCAAAAGCTTCTGAAGCTGAGTGTTCAAGCCCTTTTTTCTTGAAGTGTGTCATGGACCTTTCAATGTGAATTGCTCAGCTAGGACCCAGAAAGAGCCCCAGAGCCTTTAAAGGGAGCCACCTCTATGCAAACAGGTGGGCACCATGCCAGTGGTGGCCAGCAATCCAGGCCAGCTGGCTCCGCAGAAACTCTCCGAGCCAGTCAAGTTGCTTCAGCTCAGCTCAGTTCTTAGGGAGGGATGGCCCCCACGAGGCAGCGGCTGACCGACATAATTAAGTGTAATTAGAGGGATCCTTAGGAGCCAGGGGAGCTGGGCTGCTGCCCTCAGGAGAGCCACTTTTTGAAAGCCCGCTGTGTGCCCACATTAAATACCACCCTGCTGGAGTCCAGATTGCCCCCTCAGTGAAGTGCCCATTACATTCTTCACAGCTGTCTGAAATACAAGCAGCCCACAAGGAGACGGGGGAGTGGGGTGGGGGGAAGAGAGTGGAATCTGGAAGCGCCAGTATTCTTTTTAATTGACCAAAAACAAAAGAAACCAAATCTTGGGTGAAGCTGCCGAGCTCCCTCCCCTGGGCTCACCGTCCACCCATGAATGATGAAAAAGGTTTTGGCGGTCATGTTGAAGCCACAGTCTTCTACGGTGTGGTTGTGGCCAAAGGAGAGGTAACATCCTTCATGCGCCCGGTCGTCGGAGGTGCGGAGGTTAAACCGCACGGCAGGTTTGTCAACAGCCTGTACATCCTCGGGTGTGTGGAGCTCATCTGGGGAGAGAGAACAGAACTTGGTGCCTCTGGTGGGACTGAGTAATGAGTGGTCTGGGATATCGTTGCAGTGCAACCTTGAGTCAATTCTTCAAACACTCTGGGTCTCAGTTTTTACATCCGCAGAATGTGTCCTTCTCACCTCCCAGAAGAGTTGCGATGTTATTATAAAAGGGACATCTGGTCTATATTTAAGAGTATCACTCACTAGTATTAATTACTGTAACTCAAGTAAAGAGGTCTCTCTTGCTTTTCTTTCTTCTTCCCTATCAAAGCAAGTTCACTTTCCTTCCCTCAAGTTACTACTTTCAAAGTATGGGCCCTCAATTTCCCCCCTCCCCCAAAATGCTTGGAACCAGTTGAGTTGCGGAATTCAGAAATTTTCAGGTCGTAGGAAAATGGCATTATGGTACACACAGCAGGTACTATACAACACCCCCAAGTTGGGTCTGGAACATTCTGCACCAGCATTTCTGCCAGGAAATATGTGACTGCTCACAACCTGAGGACAAAAAGAAAATGATAAAATAGCCTCCTGTCAGTTCAGGTCAGTTTTGCTGCCAAATGAATTCAAGCCAGGTAAAGCCAAGTCTGCCACCAAATGAGTTGCCAAACAAATTTTCCAGTTTTGAGAGGTTTGGGAGTTTGGAATTCAAGGTAAGACGCTGTCCACCTATTACGCATGGGCTTCTCCCAGTGCTCCCCACTCCACGTCAGCAGCTACCGCAAAAAACCCTCATGCCTCCTCAGTGGCCTTTATGGAGTCCGGCATGTGCCCGGCATTCTTCTAGTTTGTTAAATAAGTGACCAAAACCATGGAAAAACTCATAAAAGCAGCCAAACCACTCTTTTTAGCTCCACCACTCAGAGACAGTGCCTTGGAGGAGATAACCAGATAACCCTGCCCCCATGACAAAGCCAATGTCACAGATGGTCCCTATGGCCTTTAAACACTTATAGGTGCTCTAATCCCCACACTGTGCCAATGGTCATAATCGAACCCCACCAAACACTCTTCCAGCTGTCTAGGAAACCACCCCTTGATAACGGGCTAAGAAATTAGAAAATCAAACTCCCCTGTCATCCAGAAACCAGGGGGAAAGATACCGAAGGAACATCCCAGGAGTTTCATTATGCCCAGAGTTAGGAAGCAAATGGAATCATAGAAAGAAGGACCAGAATGGTGGCGAGGGGGGTGGTGAATTCAGGGGGCAGGGGAGGGAGAGAATGCACCAGGTGTAAAAAGGATAGGGTTCCAGAAAAGGCATCTCAACACACATGAACAGAACTTTGTCATTATAGTCATGAACAACAGTTTCAACGGGCAAATATTTGAACCATGGACATAATTTAGTTTGACACCTCCCCAGTTTCCACCCATATAGCCACTTCACACAAAACCCAGATGGAAAATTCTAGAGAAAAAGGCCTTCTGGGACAGATTGGCAGATAAACCCTAATATCGACATAAAGGGTTCTCCTTAGCAGCTGCCTCTCTGACCCCAAAGTCCTGTAGCTTCATTGCTACTATTTTTGGCCTGGGTCACTTCAACCTCTGGCACTTTCTGATTGTTCTTCAGCCAGATGTCCTTGTGGCTCATTCTTTAGTTCCTTGCTCTCAGATTCTCGGAGAGGAAAGCCTGACCACAGGTTCTAACTGCACCAGCTTCTCCAGTCGGCACTCCATACCTCCCACAACACTGAGCACCATTCGTATATTTTAATTGGATTTCGTCTGTCTTCTCACCGAGGACTTGTAAGCTCCAGGAGGGTGGGGTTTCTAAGGAGACATGCAGTAAATACTCGTTTGAATGAATGAAATGGCCCACGAACACTCCGAGTTGCAGAACACAGAAGTTGGAAGGAACTAGAGGGGCCACCTACCCAGAGTCACACTACAACTTAACACTAGAGTCGGGGACATGCTTAGTAAAGCGAGCCCTTTCCATTCGTTCATTCACATTAGCCCTCCCACCAGTACATAAGTTGACATGGACCAACATCATTTGGCCAACTTCAACAGAATAGTAGACCGGGTGCAGTTTAGGGGTTCCCCTGGCACTCCTGCTGTGTGACTCCACCCTCGCTCCACTGAGGCAGACTTCTTCCAATGGAAGAGAAAGCCACTCGGAACTCAGAAGGAAGAAAAGCTAGCAGCTAGGAAGAGAGAGGGAGCTGGAAAGAGTGTGGGGGAGGAGGAGGCTCGCAACGTGTGAGCAGCAGCCCAGCAGCCGCCGGGCAGTCAATGCTCCTGCCACCTTAACTTTCAAAACACCTACGTGGAGATAGATTAAACGAAGGAAGGGCGCCGCGTGAGAGAGCTTCTTCTGACCTTGTACACTAGTAAACCTCCGGGTTCAAAGATGAGCGCAAGGTGGAAGAGCTGCTGTCAGCCAGTGGGGCCGACTGGACAGCATGTTTTAGGGGACCCATCGCGTCCTGGAAAGGGGTGGGGCGAGAGCGAGCGGGCTAGGTCGGGCCAGCGATGCCCTGGCCAGAAGCGCCAAGAAACAAGTGATGATTAGCGGGAGCAAGCGCAGAGCGCAGGGGGAAAGAAGGATTTCCCAGGAACGAGGGAACACTGGAGAAGGGTCTGCAAGACAGAGGGGTCCCGAGGGCACAGAAAAGAAGCTGGGGGGTGGCAATAACAAATCAGGGCACGTTACCTTGTAACGGTCCCTCTGGACCGAGGGTCGCGGGCCCTCCCGCGGCAAAGCAACAATAGACGCTCCAGAGGCAGAGCCGAAGCACGGAGTTTCTCATCTTTCCCCGCCACACACCCGTCGCCAAACAGGACTTTCAAAACGGGGGGCGGGGGCAAAACAAAACAAAACAAAACGAAACACCTCCCGGGGTTCCAGCAGTCCAAGCTCGTAAGACCCGAGGTGGGCACCTTCTCTCCCCCAGGGCGGTGTAGCCTTAGACCGCGGAAAGTGGAGAGTGTGCGGGATGAAAACTTGGCTGCCCTGAGCGGCTGGGGTGGCAGAGGGAGTGTGAATGGGGCTTAAACCAGAGTCAGATCTGCCTGCGCCCACGCCGCACGCCCGGGAGGCACGGGCTCGCCTCTGTCACGCAGAGAACTCCCGGAGAGGTAGGTTTCTTAAAGTAGGGGAGTCATCTGACCCATCGCCAGATGGTGATTTGCATAATTTATTCCCGGTTCCCAACTCCGATTGGTCACACCTTCTTTGACGCCAGAACCGAGACTCCCAAAGTTTGAATGAAAGCGCCACACACCCACCACGTGGACGCTCTGCACGCGCAGCCTTGCGTCTTCCCCCTCCAGCCTTTCTCCAGCCTCCACACTTCCTCCTAGTGCCCAGCCTGGGACCCCAGATTCTTCCCTCTCCTCTCCGGGGGTGGTGGGGCTGTGCCTTGATACGCTGCGCCCGCTGGGGACGCGATCCCTAAGGTAGGAAGATTATCCTCTCCAAAGTGCAAAGCTATCTCCGCGCCCAGAATGGTCTCTCCGCGCCCCTGGCCAAGGGTCCGGATGGGGGACAGCCACCTTGTCGCCTCTTTGGTACTTCCTTCACTCCCACCCAGAGAGACCCTCGACCGGTGCAGACGGCGCGACAGGACTATAATCGGGCAGAGCTGAGGGACCGGGGGCTGTTGGCACAGACCCTTTCCGCGTCCTGTTCCACCACTAGCTGTAACACTCGGCGCAAGCTACTGAACTTCTGCAAGGCCGTTCGCTCCTTGGTCCCCAATAACCGTGCGGACAGTTCCTGCTGCTTATGGATGTTGGCTAAAACTAAAAGAGATGGTGCACAGCGCTTAATGTGGCGCCTGCCACGTAGTAGGCTCCCTTATACCTCGTGTGGGGCAGGGGGTGAGGGGGCTGGAGGGATACCACGAGACGCTTCCCAAAGGGAACGGAGAGCTGAGCTCGGGAGGTCTCGGACGCGTGGCCCGCAACGAGTCTCTCCAGATGTGCGCAACTGCCTGTTGCGTGGGATTAAGTAGTTGCTTCTTCTCATCCGTCCTCCTTCCTCTCCTTCCCTTTATTGATCTGCCTCCCTGCTCCTCCCTTGGGTCTCGGAACCCAGCTCCCGCTCCGCCAGCCGGACTCCTGGACAGAGAACGGCGAGCGCGGGAAAACTCGTCACCGAGTCCGCATCCGGCGCAGGGGAGCTGGAGCTGAGCCCGGGGCTCTCCGAGGGCGACGGCCGGGAAAACGGGAGGGCGGCTGTGCTTCAACGGTCCTTGGGACGCTGCGGCGGTGGGAGGGATAGAAAGCTCCGCGCTAAGCGGCGCGCCGCCTTCCCCTGCGTCCCCGCCAAGCCTGAGCTCGCGCTGCACGGCTCAGCGAGTGACCGCGCGGTCGCTGGGAGACAACCTGTCCCACTCCAGCCCGCGGAGGAAAGCAGCCCCGCGCCCCTTCCTCCCTGATGTGGGCGCCCCAGCCTGGAGGGTCTGTGGGGAGAAATCAGTCCAGAGGAGCAGGTCCCGTTCCGACCTATAGTCTCAGTACTCTCGCGTGCTGTCATTCATTAACAAGAGGCAGGCTGGCTTTATTATTTGAGGATAAAACTCCATGCGTTTTACGGGATGGCAAATATCACCGCCGGATCACCTTTCTTCCGTCCTCCTCCCGCTCTCCTTCCCTACCGGCAAACCGCACAGGTACGTGTAAGTCAGGCACTATCTGCATTTTACAGATGGGAAAACTGACTGGTGGAGGAATTCTTAACCACCAGGCGCCCCTGCTCTAGGCTCTATATCGCCTCTAAAACATGCACATGAGCGCTTGGGCGCAATGTCTCCATCTCACAGTAGCTGAGGCAGTGGGTGACCTCGGAGAAAATGTCCTTCTCTGTCTTGAGTTGCTCACAGCCGTAGTATTGTCCCTAGCACTTAAAACTGGACAATGTGGTGTGCGTTGGGAGACTTTGTCACAGGTTAGTGAGATCCCCTAGGGAAGCTAGGTGTTCCTGCAAAGTTGGTTATCTTGCTGGGGAAGGGAGGTGGGGCCGGAGAACAGATTCAACAAAATCAACATCCATTTGTTAATGGCCAAGGTTATGAAACCATTGACGTTTTATTGCTAGTTGGTTAGAGTGTCCTCCTCTGTCTCTATGTTAAAACATGTGAGAACTCTCAAAGGACATAATGAAATCACAATCAAGGCTTTAGAGAAATGCACAATGTCAACTGCTTGCTGCTTTCCAGAAGAACCCCAAGGAGATCTGGCAAGCCTCCTGTGTGGAGGAAGTCCCTGCCTGAGGAGTTTCAGCAAAAAACTTCTCTTTGTGTTGCAGTCAAAATTTCAAGGTCTCAGGCCACTCTGGCAGACTCTGGTCATTCTTTCTGGCTGCCCAGCATCTGAATACCCCTTCCTATGTTAGAGCAATGAATTCCCCTCTTGTGAGAGGAGCTCACTTTCCACTACAGAAGCTGAAAAGCAAACACACCTTTCTAGCCTCCTTTGCAGCTAGAACACACAATGGGGGGGGGGCTGCCCCCCATTTAAACTCAGCCAACCAAACTCTGAACTGGCAGCTAGTGAGACTGGAAGCACTCTACTTCCCCAGCAGGGCAGCCAGCTTGGGCTCTCCGCAGCAGCAGTGGGGTCTACCCCGTCAGTCTGCCTGCGTGGGCAGGGGCCTGCAGAAGCAGCGCCTGCCTGAGTGTGTCTGGTAGGGTAATCATATGGGTGCATTAATTTATCCTTTCAATTTGAACATTTCACCTAAAATCTCATACAGTGTGCTTGAGTGTGATGTGGTTATGTTATAGAGTTACATGCTTATGATTTTGTAGTAAAAAGGGATGCTATTCGTGCTGACCCCTGCATTTTGCCAAGCCTGTTTCCTCTGCCCTGCAGACATTGCGGTCACTCCCCAATATCATTTTAATGAGTTCTTCTTCTGCAAAAATGAGCCAGAGGGGTATTGCTTACAACTAAGTAGATGACTTAATTACCAGTTGCTAACTGAGCAACTACTATCGGTAAAACACCTGGGCTGAGCACCCCAGCTGGACGGAACCGCCCTGTCTTGCACCACCGTCCCTTTCTCTCTCTGACTTCCTGCTGCACCGGCCTTGTCTTTAGTTCCTCTCTCTGCACTGTCTGACACAGTCCCCACGAGCTGCATGTGGCTACCAGGCACTAGAAATGTGGCTAGTCTGAATCGAGATGTGCTCTGAGTATAAAAGACACACCAGATTGCAAAGACTTGGATAAAATATATATATTATATATATTTATACATATAACATATATAAATATATATAATATTTATACATATAACATATATAAATATATATAATACTGTGTTCATAATTTTATGTTGATTAAATGTTGAAATGACAATATTTTGGATATCCTGAGAGTGAAGTAAAATATAACACTAAAATTAATTTCATGCCTCTCTCCTTCTTATAAATGGTTGCTGGAGAAATTTTAACTGCCTATGTGGCTCATATTTGTACTGAACATTCTAAAGCAACAAGATTTGGCCTTTGACCTAGTTAATCCTAACTGGCATCAAACTGCAGATATCTGCAGTGTCCCACGGTCAGGGAACCTTGCCCTGACCCCTGGCCTAGGCTTCCTATGTCATTGTAAGCAACATCCAGACCTGCAGAGCATCTTTATAAGTTTATTTGAGGACACCATCTGCTGAGGAGCAAGGTCTCAAATGCTCCCAAGAATAACAGTTTGCAGTTTTCTCTATGCATTTGAGATAATGAGGGAATGTAAGGAAAATTACATGGAAGTGGGAGAACACTGGGCAGGGATCGGATTACAGAATCGCTAAGATTATGTGTTCTCCGGAGGGAGGTCGCATACTACAAGGAGGGGTCTGGAAGAGGGAGTATTTCAAGGGTTAGTTATCTTAGATGTGCAGAATCAATGGACAGGGTTAGCTTAAGGCAAAGATAAGCCTTTGACTAAAGCAGTTACATGCCTGGGGCCTGACTACCCTCCTTGACCTGCCCAGCTAAGAATTTATGATCAGATCACCCTGTGAGGTTACTCATTTTCTATACAACGCCTTTGCCCACACCTGTAAGCACTTTCATTTCTTTTGTAGAATTTACTTGGGTCTGTAATTGGATATTATTTGTTTGGCTATTTGATTAATGTTTATCTCCCTATTAGAGTATAAGCCCCAGGCTTATACTCCAGCAACTAGGCTTCCTTTTGCTTCCAGAACCTGACAGAGAGCCTGGCACATACAAAGAGCTCAATATATATGCATTGAATGATTGTGTGAATGAACTGTATCATGAATCTCCAAGAACAGGACAAAGAAGTCAATTTTGCTGAACTGGTTTGACCACAGAGCTCTCAGTAAAGAATCAGAATCACCAGGATCTCAGTTTGGGAAGCACTGGATTAGGGGCTGTGACTGCAGAGAAAGTTAACTGAGCCTCAGTTGAAGTTTCCATGTGCACTCTGACCTTGGCTTCCTTTATGCTGAAGGTAGAGGTAGGCTTGTTTGGGGGCCGAGGGTTGAGAGGGGGGCTTATTTTTTATATTTCCCTTCCTCTGCAAATCACAAACTCCAATTCCTTGAATTCTTCTACTTAGAAGACATCTAAAAGGAGCTGAATAATTCTCCTTAATAAAGAGATTTTCATGCAAATTCATTCATGCAGTTTATGCATGGTTGTATTTTTTCTCCTGCAAATACACAGTCACCATGCAGGTGAAATAGTGGGTTTACCCAGGGAGTGGGGTAGTTGAAAGGAATCTGCCTGAAAGGCCAGCCAGGCCTGGCACATTTCTTCTGGGAGAGATAGCAAGCACATGGTTACCCACCGACGCAGAGCATGAGACCCAGCGTAAGGCCATCAGGTCCCACTCACACATCCAAAAACTCTAGTAGCTCAGCTGAAATGTCCTTTTAATTCGCTATGTTAATAATCTTCCCCAACCAGCCCTACACACAAAAGCTAAATGACTGCTGTAAAATCAGCCTAGAGCTCAGGGACTCTGAGCAGGCCTGGAGATCAGCACCTCCCAGGGAGCAGATGAGAGGAGGGCAGCCAGCACTGCGAGGAGGAAAGGCAGCTGAGCCAAGCGGCAGCTCCCCCTGCTGGGGC